TGAGACTTGAGACTTGAGACTTGACTTAAGTGATGCAACTCGGCCACGTGCCACAAGAGGGCAATCAAACCACGCACATCAACGGTAACCATGGTTTCGTCGTTGCATCAACCTGAAAAAAACTCATGAAAATGTAGTGTCCTACTCAAGCAATATACTATAATTTCTTTTTGCTTAGTGCCTATGGAAAAAGTTTTCAAAACTTTTCAAATATTAATTCAAAGTGTTTTCCGTTGAGTAGCAAGTATATCTGCGTAGATTTCCAAAGTAACCACATTGTTTGCAAACCCTATAGACTATTTACACGGTACTAAAACTGTTACATGCATGTAAATACGTGTGTATGTGAGTGCAGCCAGTTGACCGAAGCAGCCAACCCTGTAAAAGCAGCCTATGTCAGAGCTCCTTTGACTGAATATCAGGGATGGGCGATACCACTGATTTCCTTTTTGATCTGATTCCAAGTAATACTAAGGTTGGTATCCTGATACTTCGTGCGAGCCATTGGCAGCGGGGTTCGTATCGAAAAGCTTTATAATGCTACACAGGCTGTCCACCGGTGTTCAGTGATTCAGTTTTGTAAGTTTTGACTAAAAATCATGGCTGTCTGCCGCTCCACTGACTTGTTACTGACGCACGACTGTCAAATAAAATGTTTTTTTTCCGCGTTAGTAACCAGACTTTCACTTTATGCTCAATGATTTTTAATTTTTTTTCCCCTGCCATTTTACTCAATGATCACTTTTATTTAGATAAACAACTGAGGAGAGTATTTAATTTTCATTTTGAATTTACATTTCTGTAATTCTGGAAAGAATCGAGGTGGGTTCAGTAGCTTCTGCATGTCCGCTAAATTTCACTTTGAGTGTTTAATGTAAAGGAAGGTTGCTGGGAACCTGCTGAACTTTGACGGCACGTGATGGAATAATGCTGCTTATACAGAACTGAATGATGGGGATTCATCTGAGAAATGCGTCGCCACTGAGCGAACATCAGAGAGTGTAGTTACACAAACCTAGATGGTTTAGCCTGCATTGTACATAACTGTATGTTATGAAGTACTTTTATACAACTGGCAGCACAAGAGATTCGTTATCTTTTTGTCTTTGCCGCTCTCTCACATAACATACATACATACAGTACATACATACATACATCCCTCTTCAGTCTCCCTGCATTCATTTCTGGGTTATAGACGGACACGTGGGTGCTCTCTGCTGCCACCCCAGGTCGCAAAGTTTATATTTTTGATTACAGTTTTAGACATTATTAGTGAGATTGTCATTTTGTCGATGTCTGTTTAACTGCAAACTGATTTTGTAGCGATAACAATAAAAAAAACGACATATGAACATAAGCTTTTTCGACGGCTGACAGTTTTCAGCAAATGCACCCAGCTCCCTGATTTTACTGGAGTTAGGTCGATATATAAGTAGTCATGAAAATATTTTGTTTTAATGGTAAAATATCTGTATTGGGACAGGCTAGCAGGCACAGTCAGTGGTGGAGGCTCAAGTCCGAAACTGCACAAGTGCTACACCACTGAATGTAATCGAAATTCTTTTTCGATAGTTTCACAAGGCTCCAAGAGGCCGGTGCTAGCATAAATGGAACAGTCTCCATGGGAAATAAGGTATCTGGACCGCTACCCCGCCAACACACCACCCACAGATAAAGTATGTACAATCAACATAAAATGTCCCCAAAGTAGGTCATAACACACAAAAGCCAAACACCCTTTGTTTTGCTTTTATTTCCATTTGATTAATGGTTCATTTGGAATAAGAACAAAAAGGACCAAAAAAAAAACCCTATAAAACTTTGGCAAAATGTTAGGAAACAGTCTTGTAACATTCCTCTGATCCCACCACACAGCAAGCTTTGACTTTTTAAATTAAAATTTAAATACGGAGACAAAGAACGTTACACTTTCAAGGCATTTAATGCATGAAATAAAAAGTAAATGCAAAGTATGTGTCACAAAGGAGGTTTCCCAGACTACAGACCCCTTTTCTGCTTAGAAAGGACCAGTACAGTTTATTCCGGAACTTGGGAGTCCCAGGCGGCACTGCGAGCAAAGCTGTCGACAGGCACAAAGGCTTCAAAGGCCCCGAAGCCTGAGCAAGTGAGTGTGTTGAGGGGGGGGTCACTGTCCAGAACATGATTGATGATTTCAGTTGTTAGAACAGAGTTAATACCACCACCCCCCAAACAGAAAATCACACGAAGGTGAAACACTAGATGGAAAATGAAACCAGATGAAACCATAAACTTTAAGACCAACCCGATTACTTTTCTTAAATTCATTCCCCGTAATTGAATTTATTTTAAGAGCATCTTCCTTATGGCAGGCTCTAAGTCTTCACCACATCTCACAAAATATTTGAAGTATTTTCTGCAGTAATATTTTTCCATGAGTGAAAATGCTGTTTGTTATTCATATAGTGCTATCAACACTCTACTCACACAGCACAAATTTTTGCACAATGGAAGCTTACAGCATAAATTGCAATAAAATCCCACCGCTTCAGCACCCACTATCCGGATTTAAAAACAATCCATCAAAAAGCAGGAAGAAAAATGGCAAAACTAAGGAGAGAAAGCAGACCAGGCGCACTGCTGCTCCGCCTGCACCCACGGCATGACATCCAGCTGCCAGATATCCTTCAGCCAAATCAAACTCCAAATGACCTTTACCCTTCAGCAGGCTAACATGCCGCAAAAGAAAAACATTAACTTGGTTCCTCAAAGCCTGCTTCTGGTCTGTGGGATATGCCTAGCAGAACCCCCCACCCCCACCCCCTCACCGCCATTGGCCCTCTTGTGCCCCATTTACCTTCTATATTAAAAGTAATTATTTTAAAAAAGGGATGATAAAAGCTCCTCATTTATTCCAGTTGCGTCCTTGGGAGTGTAAGATGTTTATGGCAAATTATCACAGAGACGGGCCCCCCCCCCCACCTGACCTCAGTACCAGACTCGCACATCACGGCCAATGATGGGAGATGAGCCCCACCCCCCAACATGCAGGTACAACATAGGCAACGGATAAACTAAAATGACAAATACAAGTAAAATTTTTTGACAAATATATTACCTTTCCAGTCTGAGGAACAGTAAATGTCTAAAATTTGTGCATAAGCAATGTTTCAGACGCACTCCATTTCCTGTAGTGGGTTTCATGAATAATCTGTAAACTTTTTTTTACTCAACTGTCATTAACCCAAACAGATAGGGAAGGTTCTAAACGCATCCACATGCTTGGTATTGCTGTGTGTCATGGTTGCAAACAACGTCCCTAAAGATGTTCCCGGCAGCTGTTCTCACTACTTCCCATCCTATACGGCCAACTGAAACGAGCATCTCGCATTTCCCATGGCCACAAGCCAATATTGTGTCGACTCCACAATCACGCATTGCAGGCCGGGCCTGTGATTGCTCCGGGCCCCTGCATGCATGAGACAAACATGGCGTTTCCCCTTGTTAGGGCTTCATGTGTCGTTCCTGCATCTCTCCACAGCCTTGATGTCCTTGCAGCCCGCCAGGGAATAGGCGCTCTCGTTAACCCTGCCTCGATAGCATCGCATGCCCCAAAGGCCTCCCATTTCCTCAACTGGCTCGTCGGAACAGAGTCCCAGGAGGTCATCGACGGACATGTAGCCCCTGATGGCACGGCCCTCGCCCTGCCACGAGCCTGCGGGCACCGGAGCCTCCTCTCGCTCCGGCAGGTCCAGCATGTCAAACGACTCCGAGGAAAGGATGCTGTCCTTGCTGGCGGCCCGACTCGGACGAGCCGGGGGCTTGAGGCAGAGTCCCGAGGCTAGCCGGTCCAGCGAGCCGAAGTCCTGAGGGCAAGGACTTGAGAACTTGCCGTGCCTCTTCAGGATGCCCTTGCGCTGCGAGGAATTGGCGGAGCAGCTGGGTGGCTGAGGATCCGGGTCCGGGGTGGTGTTCTCCGGAGGAGGGGAGCTGCAGCCCGATTCCTGCTCCAAAGACTTCTTGAGGATGCCCTTGCGAGGGAGAGCAAAGCTGGGGGGAGGAGATGGAGGGGGTCCGGTGCCAGGCTTTACACCCTCACCCTCCGTGTTCTGGGGCTCGCCAACAGACTTATGCTTCAGGCTTCCCCTCTTCTTCAGGATCCCCTTGAAGGGCCGAGCAGTGGCCCCGTCCTGCCTCACCTGGCAAATGTTATTCTCCTTGCGAGACCTCCTGAGGGAGCGCTGCCTGACAAAGTCGCCGCCACCTTGTGGCCGGAGCAGGCAGCGCACCTTGGAGCCATTCTCAAGCAGTGGCCGAGAATTCCTGCGCAGCCAGCTGGCGATTCCAGCCAGCCCTCCTCCTTCCTGAGGCTTCTTCACACTTACTTGGTGAGCTACCGGCTCACCCTGATCGACTACTGGGCCTTGGTAGCCCCAGTTTAGCCACCAGTGTCCGGCGATTTCCTCCAGCGTAGCCCGACGATCAGGGTTCACCATCAGCATCCAGCGGATAAGACCAGAGGCTTCTGCAAATGCACGAATATTAAGCGTGAAGCTTTAAGCAACAAGGAAACACCCTGTTAAAATCCACCCACAGCTATTTGGCTGAGCTGTTCTGCAAACACGCCGCAGTACATTACAACCCTACAAAGTAATTCCAGCTGTCTGTCAACATTCTCCCAGCACACTAAAGCCCCACAAAACATAAGAAAACCCTCTTGGGCAAATGCGTCGTCATCAGCTTGGCTACACTTTCTTAAACTCCACCACTGGGTCCTCTGAACGTACTCTTTGAACTGCAACTGCATTTTAAACTGCATGCAACTGCTGTTCAGACACCACCTAAGTGCCACAAGAGATCCCTTTTTGTGAACAGATTGATCTTAAATCTGTTCCGTACATGCGAGGGGCAGCGGTTTAAGCGGAGACGGTCGCGGTTCAACACGTCCCCAACCCAAGTGCTATTAATAACCTGTTTGGTACTTTGTAGCCTGTTGCGTTATGTATCTGATGAAGCCCTGGGCACAAAGCAGGTGTCATTGCACTGATGCTGATGAGAGTGATGTCAGCCTAGGGAAGGGCTGTCTGGTTAAAGGGTGACGAACGCGGAGCAGCTCCTGAACACGCCGGATGTCTCCTGAAGCAGCCGCTGCAGGCTTTACAGTGGCTTTTATTAAACCATTATTCATACTGGACTGTAACTGGCCATCTTGTGGTTTTTTTTTTTTTTTTGGTGGAGAAAATTCCACAGCGGGTCAATCTATTTAAAATGTAATATCAAGTCCAGTAAAGAAATTGTAAATTAATAAAATATAATTCAATACTGGTATGTTTTGGTCAGATTTCAGTAACTCGATAGTAAACCTAACCCTAACCTGTTTAGAAGTCCTGTTTCAAAATTAGCGTAACTAGTTTTAAATCATAGCTATGCTAATGACAGAGCAATTGCCCTAATTCTGGTACTGATACCAATAAGAGTAACAAAGACAATGACATAAACAGTAATATTTGTATATGGCATGCATAATGAAGTGAACGTCATGAGCAGACTATCACCATCCGTACCGGAAGGCTTCAAAGGCTTGCGGTAATTTCCCGTGCTGATCTGTCGGACCAGGTTCCTGTAGTCCTGTCCGTCGAAGGGCATTGATCCGTGCACCATGGTGTAGAGCAGCACACCCAGGGACCAGCTGTCCACCTCGGGGCCCTTATACGGGCGACCGTTCACGATCTCCGGAGATGCGTAGAGCGGGCTTCCACAGAAGGTCTGCAGGTACTTATCTCCACAGAACAGGTTCGAGAGCCCGAAGTCTGCAATCTGCAAGGCAATGGGGGGCTCTGCTTAAGACAGGTCTGAGGAGCGATCCAAGCCCACCATCCATTGAGGACTGAGGACACAATACAGGCATGACTACACCATCACCATGTTAAAGAGAGAACCACACAGCATAAGTCACCTCACAAATTAATTAAACTGGCATTAGTGCAGTTTACAAGGGAGACATAAACATGGAAGGTGCACGACTCAGACAGACCAATACAGTGAGGAGTCAAGGAGAGCAGTGTCAGAGAATTAGCCCACTGTCGTTTCAGTCCTGCATGCCATCTTCAGAAGAGACACTCGGCATGGATTCAGATACAGGCCTGAAGACGGGATATTTGTCCTCACCTTCACATTCCCATGTTCATCCAAGAGGATGTTCTCCAACTTCAGGTCCCTGTGCACGATGCCGTTCTGGAGAAATAACAGAATGAGTCAGCATTTATCCCGCAGGGGTCCAGCCTCACCATCCCTGTAGTTTCTACCCCATCCACCCCCCCCCCCCCCAGTCTTGCCAACTACTCAGCTCTAGGGCTGCAACAAAGAATTTCAGACCTCTAACAAAGACGAGGCCAGCTGCATGCACACAGCACACAGGTGTTCCAGAACTTTTGCAAATTTAATAGAGGGGAGAGGCTAGCTGGAGATAGACGAGAATCAACAGGCTTATTTGCTGGCTTGGTATTAAGACGGCTGCCGACTTTGAACAGAAATAGCAATAAAAAAAAAAATGGAACTGCAGAAAGATAAAAATCTGAGCTAAAAATACAGGTTTTCAGCAAAGGGGTGTGTCGTGTTGGTCATGGTCCAAGGCCTAGAATGACATTTACACATCCTTGGGTTATTTCACGTCTGCCATGAATTTGTGATGTCTGGGGCCTGATGAGAAGGTGGTCCTGGAATTCCTTCAATTGTTCAGTGCCCTTTGGGGGGGGGGGGGAGGGGGTCGGGAGTTAGGTGGAAATGCTTGGCATACCAGAGGAATTTGTAAGGAGCTTAAAATTTAGCTTCCTCTGCAGCCCAGTGCACAAAAATGCAGGTCACGTTTAATCTTACACGTTTAATCTTGTCGGTAAGCAACACTTAGCGAGTGACATGCTACTCGGGGACGTTTAAGGACAGCTTACTCAGACAGATGTATCCTCTGGGGTATTATTATACAACAAAAAGGATTATTTCACAAAAATTCTGCCCATGCTTTTAGGGAAATGTGCCTTGGAAAAAAAAAATGGGAATAATAGAATTTAATGAGTTCATTAGTCTGGCTCAGCCTTCATTAAAGCAATTCAGCACTGGGGCCCAATACATAACAGAAGGGCATCACTGGCTTGGGGAGCACAGTAATGGCAGAGGGACAGACGTGGGGCCACGGGATCTGAACCAGCAACCTCCCGGGCACAGGTACAGACTCCCTATGGGGTGCATTACCTGGTGGCAGTAGTGCACTGCAGACACTATTTGCCGGAAGAAGTGGCGTGCCTCGTGTTCTGGAAGCTTCTGACGCTCGCTGATGTAGTCATATAAGTCCCCCCGACTGGCGTACTCCATCACAATGACAATCTTGTCTTTGTTCTCAAACACTGGGGTAAGACACATAGCAAGGAGAGAGTCGGCATGGGCAGTATCACGGTAATACCGCGGTATTTTGAAATCTTACGTTAAGCATTTGGCAAAATTTCATGAGGAAACCCCCCCCCCCCCCAAGATTTAAAAACACCGGAAGTGTGTTACTTTGTAAAATATCATCAACATACTGTATACCATGGTACAATATCTAAACAGTATGTCGTTATGAAAGTTCAGATACCGCCGAAGGCCGTGGGAGACGATATCGCCTGAGTCCTCTACGGGAGACATTATTTTATTCATTTGCCTCATCTGGACAATTCGTTACAGTTAGCCAAGCCACTAACTTGCTGACTTATGACCTATTTTTCTGCAGTCTGTGTCTGGACTTCGATCACTTACTGTTCATTAATTATTGTTCTTTGTATTGAGGTTATTTTTGCATCATAAATTGGCCCTTATTGGTAATATTATTATATTTGCATAATTAATAGTATTCATGCATAAAGCAATAATACCCCCAATTTACCGCACTTACTGTTTACACGCTTGTGCACTCTGCTGCCGTTTAATGCGCTTATTGCAGGCTTTGCACATGGCCTTAGGCAGCCGTTTTGACCAAAAGTCCAGTTTACACAGACGATTACCTCAGTCCTGTTTACACAACACAATGAGCCACCAAGTCATACAAAACCAGATATGACAAGTGACACCGCGCTCCATCCTGCAAGACATCTGCAGACGTTTTGCTAACTGGCCACCATACACACATTTATTTCCATCTAGGTTTGCTTTCAGCTGAACCCCAGTGCCGGTACCAGTGGCCCACTTTAAAAAAATCGGCACCCGGCCAGTTTTGCTGGCTGGCATAAGGAAGCGTTTAAAGCTTCAGAGAGTAAAACTTGAATCTTTATGACAATGAAATGGTAGAAATGAACCTTCTCTTTGGAGAAGCCAACCACAAGCACGCAAAGAAGCGGCCCTGAGGTCGGCAGAGAATGATGCAGAAACCACAAAAACTACAGAAAACATGGCTGCTGCTGCCGCAACCCCCCCCCCCCCCTTACTCATCTTCCATCCATTCAGCTACACTCCACACACTAGACAGGAGCAATCGATTGCAGACATACCTTCATAGATGCCAATGACGTGTGGGTGGTTGATGGAGGACATTATTTCGATCTCTCTGCGGATGTGCGTCAGATCCTGCTCGTCTGTGATCTTCTCCTTTCTTATTGATTTGATGGCCACCTTAGAGAGGGGCAGTCAGGAATGAGTATTTTGTACTGGACATTCACATTAAACCCTCTCCTTGAATCGCCAATCTTATGCATTCCCTTAAATCAGATGAGGTGATTTTTTTTTAAGCTGAAATACTATTCGTATCATTTCTTATGGTAAAATGGCTATTCCAGAGCAACATATACAACCAACAATAAATACAAAGGATTAAAAACATTAAACTGTGGGTCAGGTGTGTGGGAGAGACACAGCCATGCGTCAGTGTTCACAGGCAGGCAGCACCTGTGCGTACAGTCAGGCGGGCGTGTTCGCACAGCTGTGCGAGGTCTGCTTTACACAGCTGAAATTCCAGATTCATCGGCAAATGCGTCAACGGGGAACAAAGCAGGTAGCGGAGGGGGCTAACGGGAGTGAAGACGACAGACCAGGCAGTAACTCAATCCAGGGGAATGCAGCTCTAGCTTTCCTGTAAATGTCAGGGACACCCCTAATCTTCGTCTTTGGTGTCAAGTTTTCCCCGTAAGGTATCGTAGGTTACAAACAAACAATCTCGAGATCGTAATGCGATACGAAGTGTAATTATGAAGTTATTTATTCCAGAAACATGCTGCGATTTCATAACACTAGCTATCTTAATTACCATGTTTGAGAATATTAATTGACCGAAGCAGTGATTCTGAGATCAGACTACCCACTGTGAGCCAATTCATTTCATATTTGGGATTTGAAAACATGATTAAACATTCTTAATGGGAAAGTTAGGAAGTTAGGCATTTAATAAGAATTTGTACAAGATTTAGTAGTTTACTGACGCACAAGGGATAGCTTTCACTTGGCCGTGTGTCACGGCAAATCATGGTCTCTGTATTTCCCCAAATTCCACTATTTCAATGTTTCCGGGAGTTTCAGAATGCTATCAATAGAAGTGCAGGGGACTTCCAGAACTCCCAAGAGAATGAGGAGCGATTTCCTTTGTCAGTCCAACTTCCTTTCCAGACACACATTTCCTCACTGCTTGCTGTTGCCAGAGTAAGGTTATCCACCCAACCTTGATTACACAGAAAACAGCTTTATTCTTAGAAACACGTCGGCACGTGACTGAAGAGTCAAACAGAAACCAGCTCCTGCCTGTATACACAATAGCATTGCGTGCGTGGCAAACGTGACAACACAGTAACTGCTGCTCAATACATCTCATACGGCAAAGCTCTACAATCAAAGTGCAAATCAGAATCAAAGATGTGCCTTTACAGTTAGTTACTACACAGCATTCTATAGTTATATACTAAAATTTCCATATGCAGCTGTCTTTGAAGACCCCTCGATGGGAAAAATGGCACCAAAGTCGATACAAAGTGGTTTACAGGCTAATTGTTCTTAATAAATTTCTTCAAAAGAGGCTTTAATATAAATAAAATGCAAACATCAACTACAAAAATAACAATCTTGTACTTAACATCAGTTAATTAACAATTTCATTAACAAAAACCAGACGAGGTCACCGCAATAAAAACAACATTTCAAAAGGATATATTATGCAACTGGTGTTGCATAGGCTTTTCAAAATGAAATTACACAACATTTAATTATTTTAAAGAATTTTTATTGCGTAAAACTGATGAGAGAAACGAAACAAACATTAGCTGGGAGACTCAAAGACCGACTAACCGACAGACGATCGTAGTTTGATGTGCTTGGTGACCTTAATTGGAGATCCATAAATTCCAGGCAACAGTTACTAAATCTAGTTTTAATACGGAATATGTATAGTTATTAAATCAGTGACACTTTCCCCGCCAGATTAGACCTCTTAGAGGGATTGCAGATACAGTTACAGGGTCGCTGGCTGCATCTTCTCTAAACCAGGAATCGCTGATAGCAGCCCAGAACCACCGAACATCTGCTTCTGTGGCCTGACACATACCACCGCCTCGCGTGATAAAGCTGCCCACCTCAGACTGCTGTGATCACTTGCCATAACTTGCTCAGTTTTCAAGGGAGGAAAAAAAATTGCAATGTATCAAGTGCATTGAACCTACCATGAACTAAAAGTTAGGGCAAGACCATTTCTGCTTATGATAAAACTCCATTTGACATTTATACCTGCCATATAACATGCCACATTTCATAGTTACACGTTTATCTCATCAGTGGTATCAGTCCCTGACCCAGAAAAACACTGATATGGAAGTTAATGGTCACCAAGCCTTTTATTCCTGTCTACATGCCGTCAAAAATGGACTAATATGGCAGGAAGACAAAAAAAAAATCATTAAAGGAAATTCCTTACTTGGATTGGATACTTGACACAGTCATTTTTAATCACTATTTGCTTTACCTGTGATAGGTATAAAACCTCTGGAACGGTCATACACTTATAAGATCTTCTATCAAAAGAATCCCCCAGGCTTTCAGTGAAGTTACAGAAATTCCTGTCTGTGTGTTTTTTTTTTTTAATGGTCTTTGCTATGGCAAGTTTCTTTCTATGGAATTCTGTCAAGCTGGAATAAACAGACTCCAGCCTATTCTACCACAAAACGTGCCATAATCCGTCCAGGTATCAGGCAATTGCATCTTAAAGCCTTACCATTTTACCAGCTTCCACCAGAACAAAATTATTCACTACACACGGCTGAATTGCTCATCTCTTTAGAGTGAATAATGTGTCACTTTTTAAGTATAAAGATGAGCAATGGTTTAGCTACTGAAAGGATCCATTTCAGGTTGGTCAGAACCTGTTGTTTCTGAATGTCAGACGTGCGCATATCTGACTAATATGCATTTTTTTTATTCAGCAAACATTTCATAGATCTACTGAATCATCTTTTCTAGTGTTTTTCCAAATAAGACATCACCCTAAGTTACCAAGGTTCATTCACCACTTAATAACAGTTGCAAAGAGATAAATATGAAGCTCTCTACTTTCGACCGACAGAAGAGGAATCTGATTGGAGTCAGTGTAGTAGAGTTAGTTAACTTCAATACATTCCCTTAAATGAAATTTTATATATATATATATCATTTTAAATATATTTCTCTCCACAGATTAAAACCACAACCAAGGACCCCATGCTGGGCTTTTCAGCTAAACACCACAGTCTATTATCACAGAAACCGTCTTTCATTTCACACAGGTCTGTGAAAGGCGGGAGCCGGAAGTCTTTCATTGGCTACCCTGAACAATCACATTCAAGCTTCTGAAAGCTTTTCCTTGAAGTCCATAGGCTTAGAGGAACCTTGTCAAAAAAAAACACGACCTCACATCCCAGAAAGCGATGTTAATCCCATCCGATGCCACATACGTGCGAGAAATGCTTGGTGGCAGGTGTTAGTTTCTGGCCATTTTAAAGGTAGCAAAGGAGAGTCACTGTGATTCTGGCAAATAGTTACATTGAAAGTCTCCAAAGTGCACTAAGGAAGCTTCCAACTCAACTTTTAAGGCGCTATCCATGCTGTTGTACCCCGTGCCAGAGAATGTGACATGAACCACACCGTGCAGTTTCAGGCACAGTCGGCTGCACCCTGGTCATGTGGGGGTGTCGGTTTATTCCCCCAGTATATACTGTACAGTGTATGGATGGGATGACAAAGTTCACCAAACTGTTGCAGTGCAACATTTATTTATTTAAATGGACAAAAAGGTGTAAATTGCTTTTGATGGGCATTTATTAAAAAGAAAAATGCTTATTAATTATTTCTAAAATATAAACTAAATTTCATGCTGCACGTCTTACCTGAAGTTGACTTTTAACATGTAAACAGCACTTCAGACGCTCAATAAAAAACAGTCACCTGACAAACTCCCCCCCCCCCCCCCCGAATGGAGACAGGACAGTTTTCATTCTCCATCATGGTACATTACAGTTCTGTGAAACCAGAAGTTGTCATGTTATGTTGACTTTACCCCTTTCCAGCAAATAGGGCTATATTCATGACAAGAGTATATGGATATTAAAACAGATTAAATACACCAAAAGGAAGAGACTACATAAATAAATATTAAAGCAGTTAAAACATTGTAAGCAAAACACTTAAGATTAGCTTTCGATTAAAAAAATTCAGCAGTACAATTTTAAGTCTCTGGCTTGAAACCCCTTTAAAAGACTCAGTAAAATGGCATCTTCGCCTGAGGGAGTTAATACAACAAAAGGTGTTTAACAGATAAAGGAGTTTTACAAATATGACATACAGGTGAGGTGGATCTTCACTGGTAAGTAAAAAACATGTGACTCAGTCTGGTAAGAACAACAACGCCTTAGCCTGGGCTACTGAAACCAAAAGTGCCTTTTATCTTATCTTACACCCCCCCTGAATATCTGTTTGGCTGACAGTGATGCGCGGTCTGGCTGCGCTGTACTTTTATTGCATCCCTATTGTGACCCCCTCCTCCCGCGATAAACCTTAGGCTCTTACAAAGGGGGTTATTGATAGTATTATAAAAGAATCTTTGTCTCCCGGGTGATTTGATGGGTCCAAACTTTATGATAGAGTTTTCTATATTATGATAAAGATCACAAACATGGCCAAAGTGCAGGATCGGCTTCAAAGGGGGGGGGGGATTATTACTCTGCGGACTCCCTGTAGAGGGATACGGCATAAATATAAATATTAAGTAACACTTCCTTGGAGAAGACCTGCATACATGAGGTTTAATTGCCATTATCTTATACCGACATTGAATTTACATCTTGGCTCCTTTTGTTTTCTTTTTGCTGCCTTTTCTCAACCAGTCCATCTTGAATATTACGGCCAGCTTCATAAGAATAATTACATTTTAAAGAAAACATACACAGAACAAAAATAAATGCGGTTAATAATGGTTGCGCAAGTTATTTTCTGCAGGCAACGCGATCTCACCAGACTGGAAAAGCGAACTGTGTGTAACAACAAAGCCAGAACAATTGGCCTCGCTGACTTATTTAGCCGCAAATGTCAGACGGACACCCTCTTTGTTATGTTACCCGACGCATGTGAATATTAATAGCCACTTATTTTGCTGATGCCCCGTCGTGCACCTGAGACACATTCATGAAAAAACCTGTGACTTATGTATTAATCAAAAACAACCTGTTAAAACAGTTACTCAACAAAATACATATAACATACATATATGTATACAAATTATAAATGTACATTATATTTTTGTATTATTATTTTTTTAACAATACGGTCTATTTGATAGTTATGATGTTCTAGCAGTGTATTACTATAACTGCATGATCACACGCAGGAGTCACGCAGGAGTCACGCAGGGGGGCACCGGCACGAGCGCCTTTGCTCGGTCCATCTGCAGCATTCACAACATCTAACCATGAAGAACCACAAAGCGTAACACTTCTTACCACTCTCCCCGAGCGCTCCACCGCCTTCTTCACCGTCCCGTACGTGCCCTTCCCCAGGGTCTCCAGGAAGTCGTAGCGATGCTTGAGGTTGTGCTTGTGATGGTGCCTCTTAACCGCCTGCCGCTTGGCCGGCTTCTGCACCGCGGGCTCGGCGGCCGGCGGCCCCCTCGGAGCCCGAAGCTGCGCCAGGTAATCGGACACTATCAGAGAGCGACCGGCAGCCTGTAAATCGCGGCGCTCCATAACAGCGGCTTTTTCTGTTCACTCAGTCCAGCATTTACACTAAAGATCCGCACAAAGCTGCGCTCTCCTCCGCTCCGTTTCTACACCCTCGCTTCCCCAAACCAGGAACTTAACATCCGCCAGTAGCGACGTTGCCAGGTTGGCCGTCCTCCTGTTATTACAAATTTGCCGGCCTCCGGTGACGATTTGCTGCTTCCCTCATGGGCGTGGTGTCCGAGAATTAAAGAAAACTTAACTTTCCTTTTCTTAAGAATAACGAGAAGGAGCAGTTATATGCACTTGCAGGATTTGATGTTTACGTACATAATACATGTCTTTAATCAAATCGTTTAACTGAATCCTATAATCGGGTGAACTGCATGTGTATTCAGCTATTTAGGGAAGAATATTCCTATTTATCTTTGGTGTCTGGCTGTCTGCGGGCAGGTCGGCCGTAACAGTTAAATGTCCAGCATGGTCCCAGTGGGTCCCATGAATGAGCATTTAGTACAGCTAACTAGTTTGTGCTTTATTACAGAAGATTAAATAACCTAATGAAAAAATACACAGTTTGAATTCTCCACGGCAACCTTTAAGGTCAAAGATTAGATCACACTGAGTCTGGAAAAAAATTGCGTATCTTTTTCCTCTTTCGTGTTATTCACACAAAAGTTAGTCTTTTCTTTTTGATTCTGAATGCGAAAAATAGCCCACAGTTAAAGATTTCATTTATTAATGTTTACTAGATTTGGGGACTTTATCTTATATATGCATTGGTCTATAGTTTTGTAATGTTGTGCTGTTATTTGACATGAAGATAATGAGTTTCTGTCATACCTACTGTTAATGTTAAGTGTGTGTTATACCATTATGTCCCACAAGGAAATGCAAGTCATAAAATTCCCCTACAACCCCCCCAATGTCAATATGAATATACAAGGACACAAACTTTGAGGGTGAGGCTGAAAAATTACCTAATCTGAGCTCTGTGTTAGGAAATAAGTGGATCTGTTACTTTTACAAATAAGAACCTGAAATTCTGCTTATCAGACAATGGCTGGATATCATTCTTCATTTTCTGTTTACTGGAAGTGACTGGGAATTTCAAGAAAGCTGCAGATTCAATTTCTTGAAAGTATAGTAGAAGGATAGATACATTGATATTTAAGTACTGGGATTCTCAGGACCCCATAAAACATTTTTTTTTAACCAGGTTCAGTCTTTGTTTCATCATACAACATGTGCAGTTTACCTTGAGATGTGTCTGCAAAGCATCTATTTGAACTGTGAAGGTTGAGTTATTTGCCAGTTTCTAAGCAGTAGAAGCAACTACTGGGCTCCTTTTTCTGAGGTAGCTGTCCTCACAGCTGTTTTCATCATACAGCTTGATGGTTTTTGTGATTGAACTTGAAGAAACCCGAACTTCTTGATATTTACTGGATTGAATGAATGCTTCTCAGCAGTAGTTAGCGATGCTGTTTCCTTCATACAGAGGGATCCATTGATGTGTGTGAGGTCTGCATTTTCTCTCTGTCTGTGACCACCAGGCACTCTGAACCCCTGAAGTGAAAAGGAGTCAGAATCCCAAAAGTTACTATATAAAGTAACATTTTTTCCCCCCTTAACATTAAAACTGAGAATCTTTACTTGAAAGACATCTGAACAGAACACTCTTTTGTAGGAGAGATGAAAAAGTACATAAAGATACCAAGGATATTTACCAGAGGTGCTCAGTTTTAGTACAGGTACATACAGTCCTTATTTAGCATCAGTTAGTGAAATGTCTGTCTTAGTATATAGTACATAGACCTATTTTACCTTTCTATGCATACTTAAGAAATACTTCCAAGTATGCTAAAACATCTTAAACATAAGCTAATAATAATAATAATAATACATGCCTATTATTAATATGCCTAATAATAATACTTTTATTATTATTATTATTACTGTATTAACTGCCTACAGTACTGTTGGCCTATGGGGGGAGAGAAAGAGAGCGAGAGAATCTGTGTTTAGGTATAGCCTACAGCGTGGTTAAAAAAACAAACAAGAAACTGTTCTTAGAACGGTTTAGATAGAAAAAAGGGGAAAACGTCTTGATTAAAGGTGAACCTTAACATTAATATCTTGCATACCGGAGGGGGCATTGATGAGGTAGCATTATCATATTAATAACTGGATGACGAACTGCTGAGCCGCGCGATGTTTTTATGAGCGTCACGACTGCGTTCGTTATTATGCCTGCGTTCATTATTATGAACCATTGTATTTAAGTCAGACGTTTAACACAATAGGCTTTACGGCAGTCTATTCGAGGACGAGTTGTCCGGTCTTAACCCGGAGGCAGAGTGTATCGTGCGTAACGCACTTCATGAATAATCCTTTGTAAAGTCTTTAGATTCTGGCATTTATCAACGTTGAACTTAAGAATGTGAGCTTACCAATATATTTATACTTAATTATCCTTAACTTCAATTGTCAGATAAAACGGAATACATTGGTTAAATCTTTCCTTTTTACTTTATTAAACTAGAATGAGTATATGTTGTAATGTTATAATGTTATAATGTAATGTAATAACGTAATGTTATATATATATATATATAACGTATAATGTTATAATGTAATGTAAAATATCTTTCAGTAAATGTAAGCCGACATATTTTATTACCTTTGTGAATAATAATAATAATATAGATTATTCAATTAATAGTGACTTAGTTTAGAACACCCCAAACTCTGCGAAGCCTAGAATTTCTCACCTCCTGATTAGATTGTTGAATGTTGTACATCACAGTTGACCACTAGATGGCGGCCTAACCAAACATTCACGTTTTTACTCTTATTGCAGTACTTTACGATATAGTGAAACTCGGGTAATTTCTAATTTAAAAAGATACTTTGACATTTATTTTCTTTTACATAACTAAAACTGTTTTACGTATCTGATACATAGATTGACATAATCCATCCATCCATCCATCATCTTCCGCTTGTCCGGGGTTCGGGTCGCGGGGGTAGCAGCTTCAGTAGAGGCACCCAGGCCTCCCTCTCCCCAGCTAACCCCACCAGCTCCTCGGGGGGGACACCGAGGCGTTCCCAGGCCA